TCTTATTTAAGTACAGTATTACTTTTTGTTATACTGTGACACCCCACATTATTCTTTTAAAAGTACTAAATGAGCTAGGTTGTCCTGCATCTATGAAATATCATTTGGACCATTTAACCTCTGCAGCTATGAAATTTACAAAGGGCCCCTTAGTCAGGGGTGCTTTGTGAACTGAGGCATGAATAGTCTAAAATTAAACACAAGTGGCTACTGGATCCTGTTTCCTCCTGACTCTGGCCTAGAGCCCCTACTGACTATAATGAATGATTTGACACTGCAGAATGATGTCTTGTTTCATAGATGGTGTTTGAAAATGATAGGCTTTTTTTTCAAATAAATTACCATCTGTAAAGAGGCAGATGCACATCTTCTTTTATACCATTGTCTATTCTAGTAGAATTAACTCTTATCAGTGCTATTTAGTAATGGCAGATTTCCGTTCCTGCTTTATATCTTACTTTAGTTGATACTAAAGTGATTTTTATTTCTATCTCAAATTTCACATTTGCAGCTAGAGAAGGTGACCTTGAACAGATAATCTCAGTTTGAAATTGGGGAGGGAATGTTGCATAAATCTGTATGTTTTGGTTAGTGTACATTTGTATTAAGACAGTCTATTTAAAAAGTTGTCTTAGATTTATTTATTATAAGAATTTCTTTTTCATTTAATTAGTTAAATCTCAGAACCATGATTGGTATAATATTTTTTTCTGTAGTGCCTTTAATATGTGGGTTGCTTTACAATATTCTTATAGATAAGAGTGTCTAGTTTTACAACCCTATTTACAGACCCATGCACATCATGTATCCCAAAGACTTCCTCGGTTTCTTAGGAGCTAGCTCTCCTCTCTGTACTAGTTATTGATCACATCAAATCCAAAAGGCACCGCAAGGAGTTACTTGAAGTTACTACACTGCAAGTTGAGTATGAAATACAAATCTTTCTAGGAGCACATAATAAAGCAGCTTTTTCAATGCTGGCTCATTTGTTGATTGCTTTTCAGTGTTAAGGACTGGGCGGGGTGCTGTGAATTAAAACATGACTGCCCTTCAGAAAAAAACAAAACTATAATCTAGTTGAGGGGAGAAAGTGTACATAAAACAATTAAATATTTGTATTCTCCATTCAAAAAACATAATATATTACTGGAAAACATGCTTTAAAGAGGATAATCTTGAAACAAATTATATTTTCTTATTAGAACATGATGAGTAATTAGATACGAGGGTAAATCCAAGTAAGAAATCAGAAATAGGAAATGTGGAATGAGGCAGATGCTTTTTGTTTTTTTTGTTTTTTGTTTTTTAGGGGCAGTTTTAAGTTCACAGCAAAATTGAGGGGAGGGTACAGAGATTTCCCATATACCCTTTACCCCATACGTATGAAGGGTATCGTTTCTAAGGGAAAAGATGACTTTTTTGGCATACCATGTTTGAGTTAAGAATGGTGCCTTTGATTTCCTTGCTAGGATGCGTTTTCTCATAGTTTTATTTATACAAAGACAGTGTTTTATTCACTTTTTATTAATCAGCTCCTTGCTCACTGCCTATTACTTGGGGCATTTTTAGTGAATGCCAGCCTTTGTCCCACACACCTATCCCCTTCCTTATTACTTCTTCCCTTTCATCATTGAGAATTTGGTTGAATTGTTGCATCAGTTAGGATTAGAATCAGCTGCAAGAACTGAAGCACTCCTAAATAATACTGACTTAAATGAGCTAGAAGTTTATTTTTCTTCTACATAGAAGTCCGAGTAGATGGTGATGGAACTTTGTGTTTTCAGGAAGTTAGGATCTGTTTGTCTTACTGCTTGAATGTGTGATCTCTGTGCTAGAAGGTAAAGTAAGAGAAGGAGGCTTAGCACCAAATCCTGAGTAACTCCAGTATCTAATCTGGCCTATCAGCAGGAAAATGTATGTCAGGAAAGAATATAAAAACTCACTGAGGCAAAACCTCTATACAACCTTTAACTAGTAGGACATACTGTATTTGTTATATTTCTTATCCCCTATAAGATTATAACCTTCTTAACAATAGACACTATTTTCACAATCATCTTATATGTGATGTGCCAAGAGTGCCAAGCCCAGTAAGTAGTTGCTTAATACTTATTTGTTGAATAGGTTAATGAATGGAAGAAGTTGGGAAACTATTGCTGTACACATTTGTCTGTGCTTCAGTGGATATCCCAACATATATGTTGGATGGCAAGCAATACTTACAAGTGTAGGCTTAAAAATAGAACTAAACAGAGTTATTTTGGATGTTTTATTTTTTTTCCTAGACTGAGGGGGTTTTATTTTTATTGGATTTTAATCATAATATTTTCAAATATTTGAGCCCCCAGTTGCATTTAAACTACAAAATTGCCTAATTCAAATAATAGACAATAAAATAAAAATAGACCATTAACTAGGCATTGAACATTTCATCTGAATTATCTCTCTTAATACAACAGCCTTTAAGATTGGGGTTTTTATACATAAAAAGGAAGTAGACTGAGAAGTTAAGAGACTTTCCAAGGCCTCAGAGCTAGTTAATGAATGGTAGAGCTTACATTGGTTCTGCATGATTCTAGAGCTGAGCTTTTAACTATTATAATAAACTGAATAGAAAATGAAATCATTTACTAAACCTACAGAAAATTAGCATATGAATATGAAAGATCTTAAAAAGGCAGTGGAGAAAAATTATTTTTGGCCAAAAAACAAAGTTACGTTTAGGAATCTGGAGGGAAGTTTAACAACTTTCCACTTTAGGGCTCCAGAAGGTCCCCTTTCTCTTTCATGTTCATCACTTTGCCAGTGGGGAAAGAGCCATACATGAATGAATGATTGTGGTTGTGTTCCAAGAAAACTTTATAAAATAGGCAGCAGGCCATAGTTTGCTAACCCCTGGGATACTATGTACCGGGTACTATTCTAAGTACTGTTCTATTCTCAGGTACTATTCTATTATGTGTATTATCCCATTTGAACCTCTTAGTCCAAAGAAGTAGGTATTGTATTATCTTTACATTACATATGAGGAAACTGAGGCACAAGAACATTAAATACCTTGTCCAGTATTATAGAGCTGTTAAGTGGTGGAGCTAAGATGTAAACCCAGACAATCCAGCTCTTTTGCACTATAGTATATTGCCTCTTTACTGGACCATAACCTCTTTTTTTTTCTGTCAGTGTCATAAAACAAGATACATATTTTTTATTAATTTAGGTATTGTGCCCTAGTACTTGTATCTTTTATTAGGTAGTTTAAAAGTAAAGAAGAGGGGCACCTGGGTGGCTCAGTCGGTTAAGCATCTGCCTTCAGCTCACGTCATGATCCCAGGGTCCTGGGATCGAGCCCTGCATTGGGCTCCCTGCTCAGCAGGGAGCCTGCTTCTCCCTCTCCTCCTGGCTTGTGCTCTCTGTTGCTCTCTCTATCTCAGTCTCTCGAATAAATAAATAAAAATCTTCAATAAAAAAATAAATAAAAGTAAAGAAGATTATTCCTTAACAGAAAAGTTGGTAACTGTTCAAATGTATTTTTAAATACCTGGAATCCTATAAGGAGAAAAAAAGCCATCACAATGAGAATTAGGTTTGCTTCTTTTTTTTTTTTTTTAACTTTTAATCACCCGGTGCTCATTACAAGTACACTCAAAATCCGCATCACCTATTTAACCATACCCCACCTCACCTCCCTGCTGGTAACCATCAGTTCTCTAAAGAATCTGTTTTTTAGTTTGTCTTTCTCTTTTTTTCCCTTTGCTCATTTGTTTTGTTTCTTAAATTCCACATGTGAGTGAAATCATACAGTATTTGTCTTTCTTTGACTGACTTACTTCACTTAGCATTATACTCTAGCTCCATCCATGTTGTTGCAAATGGCAAGACTTCATTTTTTATGGCTAAATAATACTCCATTGTGTGTGTGTGTGTGTGTGTGTGTATTACATCTTTATCCATTCATCAGTTGATGGATACTTGGGTTGCTCTCATATCTTGACTATTGTAAATAATGCTGCTGTAAACCAAGGGGGGCATGTATCCCTTTGAATTAGTGTTTTTGTTTCTTTGGGTAAATACCCAAATAGTGCCATTGCTAGATTGTAGAGTAGTTCTATTTTTAACTTTTTGAGGAACCTCCGTACTGTTTTCCAGAGTGGCCATACCAGTTTGCATTCCCACCAGTGGTGCGTGAGGGTTCCCCTTTCTCCACATCCTCACTAAAACCTGTGTTGTTTTTAGCCATTCTGACAGGTGTGATATGATATCTCCCTGTAGTTTTGATTTGCATTTCCTTCATAATAAATGATGATGAGCATCTTTTCATGTGTCTGTTGCCCAAATGTATGTCTTCTTTAGAGAAATGTTTGTTCGTGTCTTCTGCCCATGTTTTAATTGGATTATTTGTTTTTTGGGTGTTGAGTTGTGTAAGTTCTTTATATATTTCGGATACTAACCCTTTATCAGACATGTCTTTGGCACATATCTTCTCTCATTCTATAGATTGCCTTTGAGTTTTGTTGATTGTTTCCTTTACTGTGCAAAAGCTTTTTATTTTGATATAGTCCCAATAGTTTATTTTTGCTTTTGTTTCCCTTGCCTCAAAGGACCTATCTAGAAAAAAGTTGCTATGGCCAATGTCGGAGAAATTATTGCCTGCTCTTTTCTAGGATTTGTATGGTTTCAGGTCTTTAATCCATTTTGAATGTATTTCTGTGTATGATATAGGAAAGTGGCCCAGTTTCATTCTTTGGCTTGTTGCAGGCCAGTTTTCCCAACACCATTTGTTGAAAAGACTGTCTTTTTCCCATTAGGTATTCTTATCTGCTTTTTCAAAGATTAATTTACCATATAATTGTGGGTTCATTTCTGGTTTTCTATTCTGTTCGTTGATCTATGTGTCTGTTTTTGTGCCAGTACCATACGGTCTTGATGATGACAGCTTTGTAATGTACTTGGAAGTCTGGAATTGTGATGCCTCCAGCTTTTCTTTTTCAAGATTGCTTTGCATCGCTTCTCGGCCTTTTGGCTAAGATCAAGTGTAGTATCTGTTCTTATCAGTTTTCAAGATTGCTTTGGCTAGGGGCGCCTGGGTGGCTCAGTTGGTAAAGCAGCTGCCTTCGGCTCAGGTCATGATCCCAGGGTCCTGGGATCGAGCCCCACATCAGGCTTCTTGCTCCACAGGAAGCCTGCTTCTCCCTCTTCCACTCCTCCTGCTTGTGTTCCCTCTCTTGCTGTGTCTCTCTCTGTCAAATAAATAAATAAAATCTTTAAAAAAAAGAAAAAAAGATTGCTTTGGCTATTCAGGGTCTTTTGCGGTTCCACACAAATTTTAGGATTGTTCGTTCTAGTTCTGTGATAAATGCTGTTGGTATTTTGATAGGGATTGCATTAAATGTGTAGATTTCTTTGGGTAGTATAGACATTTTAACAATATTTGTTCTTCCAGTCCATGAGCATGGAATGTCTTTCCATTTCCTTGTGTTTCTTCACTTTATTTCATCAGTGTTTTAGTTTTCAGAGTACAGGTCTTTCACCTCTTTGGTTAGGTTTATTCTTAGGTATCATATTATTTTTGGTGCAATTGTAAATGGGATTGTTTTTTTAATATCTCTTTCTCTTGCTTCATTATTGGTGTATAGAAATGCAACAGATTCTGTACTTTGATTTTATATCCTGGGACTTGATTGAATTTGTTGATCAGTTAGTCATTTTTTGGTAAAGTCTTTCAGATTTTCTATATATAGTATCATGTCATTGCAAATAGTGAAAATTTTACTTCTTCCTTACCGATTTGGATGCCTTTTATTTCTTTTTGTCATCTGCTGTGGCTATTTTGTGAGTTGCTTGACTGGTGTTTGACAGAAATAGTCATTTTTACTGCTTTTGTGTTTCCTAACTTCATACTCTCATTTTTGGTTTTTCATTTCCTCTCAAGGAGTCCCCCTTTATTTATTTATTTATTTTTAAAAAGATTTTATTTATTTGACAGAGAGAGAGAGAGTGAGAGAGGGAACACAAGCAGGGGGAGTGGGAGAGGGAGAAGCAGGCTTCCTGCTGAGCAGGGAGCCCAATGCAGGGCTCGATCCCAGGACCCTGGGATCATGACCTGAGCCGAAGGTAGATGCTTAACAACTGAGCCACCCAGGCGCCTCAAGTCCCCTTTATTTTATTTTATTTTTTTTAAACTCTTTTTTTTTTTCCAGATTTTATTTATTTATTTATCAGAGAGAGAGAGAGAGTGCACAAGCAGGGGAATGGCAGGCAGAGGGAGAAGCAGGCTCCCTGCTGAGCAAGGAGTCCGATTTGGGACTCTATCCCAGAACCCCAGGATCATGACCTGAGCGGAAGGCAGACGCTCAACTGACTGAGCCTCCAGGCATCCCTCAAAGAGTCCCCTTTAATATTCCTTGCAGGGCTGATTGAGTGGTCATGAACTCCTTTAGTTTTTGTTTGCCTGGGAAACTCTTTATCTCTCCTTCTATTCTGAATGGTAGCCTTGCTGGATAGAGTATTTTTGGCTGCAGGTTTTTCCTATTCAATACTTTGAATAGATCATGCCATTCCTTTCTGGCTTGGAAAGTTTCTGCTGAAAAATCTGCTGATAGCCTTATGGGGTTTCCTTTGTGTGTAACTGTCTTGTCTTGCTGCTTTTAATATTTTTTCTTTATCAGTCTGTCATTTTAATTATAATATGTCTCGGTGTGGGTTTGCTTTTGTTGATTTTGTTGGGGATTCTCTTTGCCTCCTGGATGTGGGTAACTGTTTCTTTTCCCAGATTAGGGAATTTTTCAGATTAGGGAAGTATTATTTCTTCTAATAAATTCTCTGCCCCCTTTTCTCTTCTTCTAGGACTCTACTATAATACAAATGTTACTACATTTGATGGAGTCACTGAGTTCCCTAAGTCTATTATCACTTTGCATAATTTTTTTTCTCTCTTTTGTTCATCTTGATTACCTTCCGCTACTCTGTCCTCTACGTCATTAATTTGTTCCTCTGCTTCTTCTTGCCTGTTGTTTATTCTGTGGAGAATATTTCTCGTTTCATTTATTGAGCCCTTTATCTCTGCTATGTTATTCCTTATCTCTGTGTTAATGGTTTCACTGATGCCTTCCACTCTTTTCTCAAGTCCAGTGACTTTCCTTATGATCATTGCTTTAAATTCTCCATCAGGCATGTTACTTATATCTGTTTTGCTTAGATCTCCAGCCATGACCTTGTCCTGTTCTTTCATTTAGGACAAATTCCTTTGTCTTCTCATTTTGTCTAAGTCTCTGTGCTTGTTTGTGTGTTAGGAAAGTCAGCTTTGTCTCCTGTTCTTGAGGGTACTGGCTTTATGAAGAAGAGGTCCTGTAGTGCCCTGCAGTGTAGTGTCCCCTATTCTCCAGGGCTTGGTGCTTCTGGGAGTGTCTCCTATGTGTGTACTACATGCACTCTGCTTTTGTGTCCTGGCCGCTTTATCCTTCAGGCCAGTCGTCTGCAAAGGTTCTCTTTGCCTGTCATAGGCAGTGTTTGGTCTCTGGCCTGAATGTGGTGTGTTTTAACTAGGTGTGCTCTGGTCTGCTTGTGAAATGAGACCTGTCACTGACACTACCAGAACCAAGGCCTTGCAAGACTCCCGGGTAGGGAGACATGGTGTGGAAGGGGTTTGGGCTAGTCGTCTGGGGAAGGGGGCCCACTGTGCTGGGACCGAGGCAAGTGTGCCTGGGAAGCAGGGATTCTCTGGAGCATGGGGACGGACAGGGCTTGGTGTAAGCAGGTTAGGTAGTGAGTGTCAGCACTGCGCTGGTTTCCACAGGTGGCCCTGTGTTTATGCTGAGGGGCAGGGAAGGGAAATGGTGCTGGCCGGTTTCTTTATCCCCACAGGGGTCTTTCTGTGAACACTGCCTTTCTGGGACATGCTCAGAGATGAGCAACTGACCTCTGCACTGTGTGCCCCAGGCACTCTTCAGATCACTGTTTCTATGCTGTATATCCATGGGGTGTTTGACCTGCCTTTTGTCCAAGAGCAGCCCCAGTGTCCTCCAAGTTGTCCCAGAGCCAAGCATGCTGACCTTTAAAACTCCAGGCTTTTGGAGTTGCAAGAACTCAGAAAATTTTGCCTCTCTTGTTTTCCAAGCCAATTGCTATGTGGATTCATTTGCCCCGAGCACTCCCCCGTGTGCTAGTCTGTCTCTCGCCCTTCTCCCTGACCATAGTTCCCTCCCCACCAGCCACAACCTATTTCTCTCCAAAGCCACATCTCCACACTTTCTACTTACTTTGATGTGGCCTCTTCTCTAACCTTTAGTTGTGAAGTTTGTTCTGCCAGTCTACAGATGGATTTCTGGGGTATTTAGGATACCTTGATAGTTACCTAGTTGTATTCATGGGACAAGTCAAGCCTAGGGTCCTCCTACTCTGCTGCGATCTTCCCTTTCTGGTGAATTAGGTTTACTTTTTAGATTGGTAAATGTCATGTCAATTGTTGGCTCTATGTTTAGATGTATATACAGTTTAAATAGTGTTTAAATTTACACTGGCATAAATGTAATTTTTTTCTCATCAGTTTGGATTTAGGTGGCGAATAGAAAAAGAAGTAATTTCAGGAAAAGGTAATTCTTTTTTGAAATTTTACTTTTTAATAGGATAAGGTTATTTTGTTATATTATTGAATTGAAGTCATTGGGTAAGATTATTCCTCATTATACAATAAATGGTTATCTATAAAAGTAAAATTAGAGACAATGTATTCATGATATTTTACTATCAAAAGTCAAAATGTAATGCTTTAGTGATTTTTACCTTTATATTTTTGCTTTTAGAGCATTCAATGGAGATTAAGTAGAAAATGTTTAAAGAGTTAAAGCAAACTAATGAAGGATGAATGCTTGAGTTTTTCTTTTTATCAACTTTTGGAATAATGAGTTGGTATTACTGTATTCCAGTCTAATCACATTTTGAATATAGAGATTAAATATCACTTTGAACCTAATAGAATTTTTGGACAGGCTAGTTCTTACTTTGGGATGTCATTGAGATTGAGCCCAAATATTTAGTCTTATGGCAAAAGATCAAACATTTGGTAGGCAATCAATAAATGCTTTTTATATGCATTGTTGTAATCTACTCATAAATCTCTGAAAAATTAATATCTTTGTACTGTCTTATGATATAAAAGCTCTTTATTGATAATTGCATTTTAAAGTGTTAATGCTTCTGAAAACTACAAAAGAGCATTTAGGAAATAATTTTAAACTAATAACTTAAAGAACCTTTAAACTGAAAATAAAGGCACTTTAAAATGATTAAACATTGAGGCCATCATTGTGGATCATTTACATCTTCCATAAATTGGATGTCTGTGTAAAGTATAAAACTGGATTTGCAGTAAAATAAAATTAAGGATTAGGAATTTTTTCTTTTTTAGATGAAGGATCAGCCCTGAAGATACTCTAAAGGAGAAGGAAAAAGAATAAATTTAAAGCTAGTTTTAACTTTTCTTAGTATTACATTTTAGTTTGTGTTTTTATCTAAACAATGAGAAATTTTGAAATGTCTCACAGTTTTAAAATTTCATACTTTTATTAAATAGAATTTTCAGGTGATGGTAAGTAATGCTGCCTTTAAAAAAATTGATCAGCATTCTTTAAGTTACTATAACTGAAGAAAGGATTAGTTGGTAAGAGAAAGCTATTGCTCTGATTTAGAATCATAATTTTGTTGCTGTTTTAAAAATAGAGCCATTACTGAACATGCACAGATTTCATGAACTATTCATTTGGAATGAGTAAAAAAAATGCCAGTTTAGAAAAGTTATAGGCTGTTTGGACTGATAATTTTCAAAATTCATTTTGATGATTTCTTTTTTATGAAAAGTTTAGATTTGTTTCTGTTGGTGCAAATTATTGAAATAAAAATTCTTTTTTGTACAAATACAAGGTTCATCTTCTGTGAAAGTAAATAGTTGTTGAGTAGTTTCTTTTATTTTTTCTCATAGATCATCAGTGTTAGTCCTTTTTTGCAGAATGTTTTAATATACAGTGGACATGATAATGTGTTGATTTTAGTGTCAGGTAACTAAAGTTTAGAGCATTGGGTTTAATTACTTACTCTACTTCATTTCAGAGTGCTACTATTTTAAAATGTGCTTTAAGTGCCATTTTATGCTGGTACTTAAAATAGAAACCATAATGTTAATACTTAAAATAAGAATTTT